AAAAAAAAAAAAAAAAAAACCTTGAACTGTAAATTATATAAAAGAACAAAAAGTGCACATGTACTTCATATTTACTTATGATTTATAATTGTATATATTTAATGTTCATGTTTGTGTTGTCGAGTCGTTGCATTTACACTGTTCTTACTAACAAGTGTCGTCAGCCTGTGGTGATTCGAGCGCTTCGATTCAGTGAATCATTTAGCGAAGAAATTGGTTCAACTGACTCGGAGTTCCAAAAAGCTCAGTTTCTCCCATCATTGCTTGCCAGTGACCGAATTCGCGTTTACGATAAACTGATTGACGATACTGGGCACGAAATGGGACGCACCTTTTCTGTTACTCAAGTGCGGATAGGATTTACTCACAAAAATAACGTTTTGTAATGTTAGATAAAGCATTACAATGTTCAATTCAATAACAGTTAACTCACGTGCTTCTCTGGTAAAAACTATATATTTGTTTGAATGGATTGTATCGATTTAAGCACTTTAAATGTTTAAAAACACCCACCTTTTTTTCAACCGAATCACAACAAATGCAGGAGAGCGGCGATGACTTATGACGTCACACCGTCACCCAAAATAAAAGTATTTTCACACGCTGCTGTCTAAAATCACACAGGTGCAGAGACATTATGCACAGATTGGAAACACACAAATAATAAAACACATATCGAAGGTATTCATATTTGAAATCTTGGTGAAAAACATTTATTTATGTGCGTGTATTAAAATGTCCCCCTTCAACTTAGAAAGCAGATATAATTGAGGGAAGTATTTATTGCATAAATGATAACTAAACTAATCATTGAAATAAGTCTTTAAAAATAGAGCTGTTTTACTCAAGATGCCTTCAATGGCGCTACCTAAGATAAGCATAACCAATTCTAACAATTTGACATTGACAAAAAAAGTCTAGCAGATATAGCTATATATATATATATATATATATATATATATATATTATTTTTTTTAAAGGAAGTGTGTGATAAAGCAAAGGAAGTAATAAGATGCTAGTGTATATATCAGTGTTAATAAAACAGTAGCCTATATTTGAAACCATATAGTTTCTGCTAACAATCCTGCTTGCAACTGTATGATGGAAAAATAACAAAATCAGTCAAAAAGACGAATATGGAACTACAAGAATTAAATATTCAAAACTGGTAAAAAGTGAACTGAAACTGAAATCATTTGCAAAAAATCATTTTTGGTTAAAAAGTAAAAACGATTCTGGAGACGTTTGTGTTTATATGCTTAAGAATGATAAGTCGCCATAAATGATCAATAAAGACAATATCTGACAAACAAAACAAAACAAAACCAGATTATATAAAAAGCATTTGGGCAAGCAGGTATTATATCATTAGTTTAAAAAAAGCTACTAGATAAACTAACAAACAAACATTGGTTTTGAATGTAAACGTTTTTTAAGCTGATAAAATCAACATTCCACTGTTTTTCGCTTTTTTATTAATTGTTTTTGTTAATATGTTGAATATTTACATACTGAAGATAGTTATACTAAAGCATTGTTCTTCATTGTAAAACGTATTCTGAAACCACCTGACAGGCTTTCTGCACATCTCTACTGCACTGATGAATTTATGTCTTTTTTCAGTGACAAAATAAGCACTATCCACCAACAGCTGGCCTTCTTGGCTAACCCATATTGCAATTCATTATACAGTGTCTCAACTGATTCCCCTCTTACTTTTCTTTCTTCTTTTACTTTCCCATCTCATTTACAAATCTAACTCTTCCACGTTTACTTGATCCCATACCAACTCATCTGATAAAAGCCAGTCTTTCTTCTATTTCTCCTTTTATATCCTGTATTATTCACACCTCCCTCAGCTCTTGCATTGTTCCTTTATCTTTTAAAATAGCTGCTATAACTTCAATTTTTAAGAAACCTAGTGCAGACCCTAACAATATAGGTAACTTCCATCCCATCTCGAATCTTTCATTTCCAAAATTCTTGAAAAAGCAGTTGCAACACAGATCCAAGCTCACCTTAGTAATATTAATTTATGAGTGTTTTCAGTCAGGTTTTTGTTCTAAGTATAGAAACCACCCTGGTGAGAGTAACTAAAGGTCTGTTAATGGATGTTGATGACGGGTTCTTATCTATTCTTGTTCTGCTTGATTTGAGTGCAGCTTTTGCCACCATTTCACACAATATTTTGTTGAACCGTTTATCTGCTGTTGGTATCTCTGGTATTCCTCTCGCCTGGTTCACTTCATACCTTTCCAACTGCACACAGTTTGTACAATTTATATTACCAACCTTTTTTCTGCTGTGGTATCCCCCAAGGTTCTGTCCTAGGTCCTCTATTGTTCCTAAATTATCGTTTAACACTTGGTAATATCTTTTCTAAATTTGGTATTGAATTCCAATGTTACGCTGATAATACACAACTTTATGTATCTACAAAGACTGATTCCATTCTTCCACCTGTCTGTCTTACTGTCTTCATGAAATAAACGTTTGGTTCTCTGACAATTTTCTTAAACTTTATGGCAGTAAGACTGAAGTACTCCTTATAGGCACTAACTCTACTCCAGTGGCAAGCAGTGACTTGGGTATGCTGAGTGCTAAGATTAAGATCCCCCTCCTCATTGGCTTTTAAGACACACTCAAAGAGGGAAACACCGTGGCAGGTGTCAATTTAAAAGTATGCACATTTCCTACCTTATTTGTAAATTAAATTAATCTCCAATCTTTCTTCTATCGTTTCAGGTTTATCCATAGTTATTCGAATTCTAGAAAAACATATAGCTGCTTTTCTAAGAAAAAAAACACCAAATAACATTTACACGTAGTTACGTTATGATATGTAATATTCAGAGGGTGGGGAGATGGGGGATTCCCCCGAGCTATGTCTCTGCATTGTCTGAACGATATTTTTTTATTCTCAGTGAACAGGAGTTAAAACTCCCACCCGGTTAACACTATGCAAAATACCAAAAATAATAACATCTTTAACAAGCATACAGAAAACAAATCCAAAAATACAATCTTCTGAATGTTCAAAATGTTCTGAGAACTTTATTGTTTGCTCTTTTTTCCTCATGTTTGTTATTATTTCAAATTTTATAAACTTTTTTTTTAAATTTACCACTTAGGCATGTTGACAGTAACGTATATCTTCAACATTGTCTATGACCAAAAATGTAAGATAAAATTTGCTTAACTTGAGAAAGCATGAAAATATACAGTTATGATGTTTTTTCATTTGATTTAGTCGAGTTAGTTTTGCATCAAACACAATGTAATTTTCGGCAATCGAGATCTGGCAGCAACAACACATTTTTCCACTTGGGCGAGCACTTCACTGACAGCTTACCTTGTGCATGAAATCAGCTGAATGCCAATTTAGTAGTGCTGCTCCTCGCCTTTGGAATTCTCTCCCAGCTAACATCTGTAATTCAGACCCATTATCCCAATTCAAAATTAATCTCAAAACTATGAACATCATCTTATTCGTGCTCCTAAACATGGCAACTAGAGGACACCTCTGGCTCATGCATTTTTAAGAATTTCATTGTCCAGTGACTCTGTTAGTTCCTTCCGATGTCTGATCTTGGATGCCCGAAATAGCTGCCCAGAGGCGTTGCAAATATATCTGTGGAGTGAACAGACTTTCCTTGAAAGGGACTTGTTTAAACCAGATGCAGGTGTCTCTGAACCCCCTCACGTCAACTCCAGCATTTATTGTTGTATGTTGTTTTTTTTGTCATCTCCACTGTTTATTTTTCAGCTGCCAAACAACAGTCTGGCCAGTGTTGCCACCTTGTGGACAAACTAATTAGTGAAAAACATTCAAATCAGTTTCTATATTTAAAGCTGCAGTCCATAACTTTTTTTTTTGGTTAAAAATTATCCGAAATCAATTTTTGAGCAAGTACATAAGCAGCCAGTGTTCAAATCTATCTCCTTACCTTAGTCCGATTCACAATGGTAAGCTTGTAATAATATTTTCTAATTTAAGTGGTACTGGTAGGTTTTCGTGGGAAATATCAGCATGCTGCTGACAGCAGCTGGAATAATTAATCTTATTATTTTGACGGCGGATTGTATTCCAGAAAGGATTATGTGTAAATGAAACACATGCAAGTGACTGAAATTAGATTATATTCCAGTTTTAAATGTGCATCTGATTACAGATACGTGGGATTACACAAGATTTGTATTTCAAAGAGAACCAGTTCTAAGGAACATTAATTTGCCGTTTGCGTTAGAAGAACAATTTCTTTTTATAAAAAAAATATATATTCATATTCAGAATGATGACCTGTGCATTCTTTCACTAATTATCTATTAAATAATGAATCAAATCCCCCATATTATGTCCTTATATTTATTTTGTGGCATTGTACAGTAAGATGTACGTTTTATGAAATATTTGCCATTCTGAGGTTACTCGTACATTACTCAAAATGTATTTAAAAACTTATACAAATTTTCTGGAGCCATTTTAATTGCAAAACCCTTTCCACACAAAGAAAACATCTCACATCTGCATGACTTTCAGGTATATTTGTGTGATGCATATTACTGCAATGTCTTTCCAGAATGAGTTTGCAAATGACGTTTCAGGACTCTTTGATATGTAAAACTCTTCTCACACTGAAAACATGGGAAAGCCTTCTTTCCAGTGTGAACTCTCATGTGAACCTCAAGATTTCCTTTGTTTGTGCAAGTCTTACCACAGTGATTGCACATAAAAGGCCTCTCCCCGATGTGACTTATTACGTGATTCTTAAGATGTTTACTGTCTGTGAAACTCTTTCCACACCGATGACATATAAAACAGTTCCCTCCTGAGTGAATCCTCATGTGGCAATCAAGGTTTACTTTACCTCTAAAACTCTTTCCACATTGACCACATGAGAAAGGCTTCTCTCCAGTGTGAATTCTCATGTGGACTTTAAGGCTTCCTTTTTGAGTGAAACTTTTTCCACACTGTTGGCAGGTATAGGGAATCTCTCCAGTGTGTATTCTCATGTGGATTTTAAGGCTTCCTTTTTGAGTGAAACTTTTTTCACACTGGGTGCATGTGTAAGGCTTCTCTCCAGTGTGAATTCTCAGATGGACCTTAAGGTAGCGATGTTGACTGAAACTCTTTCCACACTGAGAGCAGGTGAAATAACTTCTTGTTTTAGCTCTTTTCCCTAAGGAAGTCTTTTCACTCTTTGAGCAACTAAAAGTTATGAAATCATGATGTTTCTCATACTGGCCTTTCTCTTCCTTTTCATTCAGTTCTTGACTCTCCACTTTCAACACCATCAGATCTAAGGCAAAAAAGACTCATACAAGTTAACTGCAGTTTAATAGGATAAATCAACAGACAAACATACTTAGGGGCCGTTTACACTATAAGGATTTCAGGCAAAAACAGGAAACTTTTTATGCGTTTTGACTGTTCGTTTACACGACAACAGCATTTTGGGGACTGAAAACGCATATTTTTGAAAACGGGTTTCAAAATGCACGTTTTTGAAAATGGCACCGTTGTCGTTTCCGTGTAAACACCCAAAA